TATATATATATATATATATATATATATATATATATATATATATATGTCAGATACAAATCATTTGTATCAATATTTCTAAGATCATAATGAATATAAGGAAAACATTTGCTCATAATTTGCCACATAATGAACAGTCAAATAGCGCACTAATTTACTAAGTATATCAGTCTTTTTAAAATCAAATTAGATGAATAAGCAGGACATAGCGTAACATTGTTTGACTAATGTTTATTGTGTTCCAACAGCAAGGATAATACTATCAGCCAATCATTCTATACAGAATTCAACAAAATCTATCTGTAGGGTTGCACAGAGCTTTGGATTGAGTCACAAAATGGTGTTGCAGAATGTATGAGGCACAAATGTAGCAGCAGTCTGCAACGCTTTCAAGAAACTATGTCTTTTCCTAAAATTGTGAGGCAGTTGCACAGAATAAGGTATAGGCTACCAGGGAAAAATGTAACTCTTCCAAAGAGCTAAGAAATTGAATTCCTCTGCATTTATCTTAATGGATGCCAAAGTAAATCCATATAAATTGGAGCAACTAAGCACACCTCATATTTATGTGTCAGATAGTAATCACCTGCTCACACCCGTAATAGTATGTTCCAATACACAAAGGATTGGATCTCGAAGCCCTCAATGTTGAATTACAAAAAGAAGGTTTCAAAATATTTCCTCACACAAGGGTAAAGAATGGAATATAAGGTTTTAACATTAACTTCAAATATTTATTTCATCATCATTTATGGGCTACTAAACTCATGGTTGATTACTGCACTTCACCACAAAATTAATTTGACATTTAACACTTTTAAAATGGACATTTGTTTAACATTCCTGGTAATTTTAATCTTGGTAAACTAGGTCTTATTCACATAGAATCATGAAGAATTTGGCACAATTATTGATTCTGAAAATGACCCAGAATCTTTTAGCTCTAGCTATACACATTCCCATGGGAGAAAATACCACTGCTAGAGACTGTCTTGCCTTTTATACTTTTTTGCAGAGAGCACTTTTTGAGTGCATAGAAAGAAAGTGGGGCTTCTGTCAGAGAACAAAGCCAGATGATACCCTCTTAATACTCTCAAAATCTTTGACTTTTGTAAGGGCTTTTCGAGAAGCTTAGGTAAGGGGAAAGGTAGAAGCTGAAAAGAATTCTTGTAGTCTAATTTACTTCCTAGTGAAAACATGCATACATCAGCATTGCATTCTTAATTACCGGTAAATATGCTACCCATGAAACAATTACTAGCATCTTACTGCCTCATCAAGTCAGACAATTATATATTTTGCTGTTTTTCAAAACAAAATGCCCTTGCCTTGGAATGATAATCTTGCTCCAGCCTGGAATCTGATCCTGCTACGTGTTTGTACTTGTTCATTTTCATTTGACGATTTCTCTCTTCAATATCCAGAGTACCTGTAAAATTCAAAATAAAACATGAATGTGTAATTCCAAACCAGTTTCAGCATTCTTAACCAAGACGGAAAACATTTAAGAATTATTCAAATATAACTTCAAAATTAAATCTATGATTTTGTTTATGACGAGTAAGACAACTTCATTGCCAAATATCAAAAGACCATTATGAATGTAACAGTTCTAATTTCAACCATATAAGTTATAATATTTTAATTTAAGGTTAAGATTGCACATAAATTATCAAATGGGGGAGGAATCAATGTCTTTTTATAAAAACAACACATTAAAAAAGACAAGTTTGAAATCAGTAAGATATAATATCTACTATTCATCCATATCCTTTTAAACATCATAGAGCGACAATGTAGGCCTGGCTAGCTTAACCGTAACATGACTAAGTATTTCTATTATTTTAAACACATTGGATTCTATTATTCATTCATTGAATCAATGATGCAATGACCTACTAGACATGGGTGATAATTCTGATAGCATGACTCTCGAAGGTATTCAGAGCTCTTGACAGAGCTAGATAATATCTGAAGAATTCCCCAAAGTGTCTTTTTTAAGATATTATATTCCTCAGATTCTTTTGAGATCATCAAATCTCACAAAATTTGCCAGTTCTTATGTGAGCTATTTTGAGCTCTGAATGGTAACAACTGAAATGCTGGGTAATTTTGGCTGGATTCTTTTTGAGATTTTTTTTAATAATGTACACTTTTATTTTTAATTTTTTGTTCCCAGTAACTGATAGGTTTGCCAGTTCCTGATTTGGAACATGCTAGTATATCATGAATTATACATGTACCATTTGCAAATCTTGAAAAATAGGTTGACTTTAATTTTCTAGAACTACTTCTTTAAGGATGAAACCTCTAAGCAGAAAACTTCTCCCCCCCCCCCTTCAGCTAGTAAATAATATTTGGGAGCAAATGTCAAACAAAAGCACGTATAAAATAACATTTTGAAGGAAATGCTATCAAAATATGCCAACAAAATGGCTACTTTAGCCATATCATACAATTAACTATTCTAGTCTAGATTAAAGAAACAACACTACATAGTATTTGATATGACTTCTATTCTGTGGTAGCATGGAACAACAAAACCACAACAGGCTTTGTGAACTCTATAAACAACATCAAAACTGAAATCTGTGAGAAGCAAGAGAGAATGAACAGATGAGGGCATTTTTCAAAATAGACTCCTTTTTTCTAAGCCATTAAACAAATATAGGAAACACTGAACTACACCCAGTATTCAATAATTGTAATTAAGAGAACTGCACATGTAATTTGCATATCAATCACAACTGAGCTCAGCATAATGTTTTAAAAAAAAATATGTGCATAAATTAATAAACAGGACAGGTCAACGTTTTCAGGTGTAATATTAACTTTTAGAGGTCAATTATATGATTGTAAGATATAAACTGAATAGTGTTTTTTTCGAGACTAGAATCAACATTGGAAGATGTCTTTCGTGACATTATAGACAGATAATTAAAACAGTGACATTATGGTTTTTAGAGATCACAGATGATTTACCCAGTTCTTGTTCTAGCTGAACATTACCTTAGCTGCCCTTCTCTTTATCTTTTCTACTTATACAAAACACTTTTTAAAGGTATATTATAGTCTAAATAGACTAAGGTATAGTCTAAATTTGATCATATCAGTTTTGTAAAAAGGCATTAGAATATTGGCAGTTTCAATTCTTCCTTTAATAAACCCCCATATTCTCCTGTTTTAAGGAAATTTAATGAAGCCATTACTTCATTAAACTTTATCAGTTGAATGGTAGATTAGCTTTTTTGTGTATCATCACTAATTCAAACTCACCAGTGCTTATAGAACAATTATTTTAGAAGGGCAACTGTATCAAAACCAATGACAGCAGTTAATGGCACCTTGAGTACTAATTTATTTATTATCACATAAACGTTTAAGGGTCACAGTGCATCAAATGATAACTTTCTTAATCTTTAGAGATAAATGATTATTGTTTTATAGAAATTAAGTTGATTCCCCCCTCCCCCCATGCCCCTTGGTGCCTATCTTTAGGAACATACTTACAATGAATCATTTGTCCTTTTAAATCCACTCCTATAATCTAGGGAAATTATTTTGGCAGAGTTTGTTATATCTTTGTTTTAATTACCCTAAATAATTGGCATCATTAGCAAATGGGGATGCTATCTGTAACTCCATATACAGCATTGTGCTTAAAATCTGTAGTATTGAAATGCTGTAAATATAAACAAAAAGACCCCAAAACAGAATAAAAACAAACAAATAAATCATGTGACCTCAAATGCTCGATTTATGCTGTGTGCTACCATGTTTTCAATGTTATAAGGATCCCAGTTATACTGTATGGAAGCTTCTGGCATATTGGCATGTTTCATGGTTAAAATATAGGCTGCTGATGTCTCATTTCCTTAAGGTTGTGATTTAATCTTAAAAATCAATGACCCACCAAATGGCTGCTATCATTCCATCACATTTGTAAAATATAAAGATTAATGAACTTACATTACTACTTACAGCACTGAAAAGGATCAAAATAAATGATATTTAACATATTTTGCTATTTTGTTTTGAGGGACAAAATCTGAAATGTTTTTACAGTGAAGTCAGCAGTTTCCCAAGACACGCATAACATTTCTGAATAATATTTTGTTGGGCTTCTCTGATTCTTCCACTGGTAAATAGACTGTAGTTCCATTAAGTGTGGTGATTACGCCCTGTAACTCGTAATTGCCTTTTAATCCATAAAATATAGGAAGGTTAGCAGCCATTTGGTGGGTCATTGATTTTTTAA